TAGAATAGAATAGAATAGAATAGAATAGAATAGAATAGAATAGAATAGAATAGAATAGAATAGAATAGAATAGAATAAGAGGGTTGGGAGGGATGTTGGAGGTCTTCTAGTCCAACCCCTTGCTCATGCAGGAATCAGACAAATGGTTGTCTCATCTCTTCTTAAAAACTTCCAGTGTTGCAGCATTCACAACTTCTGGAGGCAAGTTATTCCACTGATTAACTGTTGTAAACTGTCAGGAAATTTATTCTTAGTTCTAGATTGCCTGTCTCCTTGATTAGTGTCCATCCATTTGGTGGAAACTAATCCAGGAGAGAAGCGACCTAGAATTGAGAAGATTTTCTTAGTTGGTTGGGTGTTTCCTCTTTTGGTTAGATTGGGTGTTTCCTCTTTTGACTAAGAAATGGACTCTTCCTACAATGGTGTCTTCCTTGTTTGATTTTTCTACAAAAAGACACACAGATCCACCTCTCGCTTATTCTCTTCTCCTTTCTTCCAGAGCTGGATGGTCCCCAGGACTTGCGGTTCAGTGACATTCGTGAGACCTCTGTGGTAGCCAACTGGAGACCCCCCTCCTCTCGCATTGATGGCTACAAAGTTTCTTTCCAGCCTTCAGATGGTGGTGAGGGTCTTTATCTACTTGTTCCCCAGGAGTGGTCTGTTAACTGCACACAGAACGTCTTAGTTGAGGTCACACAATATGGCAGAAAGAGCTAAAGTGAAATAGAAGTAGAGTCAGAGAAAAAGCCAACCATTACGAATCAATGTAGTGTGGTTTATTTGGAAACAGGGTTATGATTAAAAGTTAGATGCAGGGGTCTTGAAACTTGGCAGCTTTAAGACTTGTGGACTTTCACTCCCAGAATTCCTCCTCCAGTCATGTTAGCTCAGGAATTCTGGGAGTTGAAGTCCACAAGTCTTAAACTTTGCCAAGTTTGAAGACCCTTGAGTTAGAGTCATGGCGGTTAGGTGAGCGTAGTAATTGTATTTTATGAACCTGGGTTTAAGCATTATTGTGTCACGTTAATGCAGTTGGGTCTCCTCAGCAGTTTTAACATTTTGTAACTGCGAACCAAGACTCAACTCTAACTTTATTGTTATGGTAATGTTGACAGCCAGTTTGGTCTAGTGCAAGGGTCTTTAAATTTGACAGCTTTAAGACTTGTGGACTTCCACTCCCAGAATTCCTCCTCCAATCATGTTAGCTCAGGAATTCTGGGAGTGGAAGTCCACAAGTCTTAAACTTGCCAAGTTTGAAGATCCTTGGTGTAGTGATTAAGGTGCTGGACTAAAAGTTGGGAAATTGAGTTCTAGTCTTGCCTTCGGCACAGAGACTAAGTCGGTGAATTTGAGTCAGTCCTTACTCTCAGCCCTAAAAAAGACACAGCAATAGCAAACCCCTTCCAGAAATGTTATTATTCAGTCAGCCTGTATCTCAGTGCGAGCTTTTCCAGTCTGGTCCTCTCCAAATGATTTGGGAGACAAACCCCATCATGCTCAGCCAAGATGTCTGTCAGCGTTGGAAGCTTCTGGTGCTAATATGGCTTCCAAAGCTGACAGAAGAAAAAAAAATCCTGTCAGCGATGGAAGCTTCTGGTACTAATATGGCTTCCAAAGCTGACATTGTGCCTTTCCCGTGCTAGCTCAAGAAACCGTGTATCATATCGGAGAGCATTGCGTCAAGAAATCAAATATCTATCCAGCACTTAATAACATTTGAGGCAAAAATATCAGCTCTGTTTTTTTTTTCTCCTGTTTTCAGGGGAGCCCAAAAGCATTGTAGTGGATGGATCTGAACTCAGGACACTCATTGAGGATCTGACTCCTGGAGCCAGCTATGAGGTCACTGTAATGTCTATCCGTGGATTTGAAGAGAGCGAGCCATTGGTAGGCTACATCACTACAGGTAATTCATGAGGGCAAGAAGCTTAAATGTTATCTAGCAACAGATCTAGTTATTTATTGATTAATTACCTTATTGATTGATTCCCTTATTGATTCTTTTAGTGCCAATCCTTCAAGGTAAGCCAAGTCGGAAAACAGACAATACCCCAAATACCAGGCCACTATATTTCACTGATCTAGCTTTGCCCAAGGATCCACATCCGTGAAACTCTCTTATACCACACTGTCTATGGAGATTCTCAGTCATCCAGGTCATCCCAAAGATGTTACTCGAAAGGCAACTGGACTTCCTTGGGGTTTTTTTTTTCCCCTTGAAAACATTTTGCTTCTTATCCAGAAAGCTTCTTCGATTCTGGCAGAATAGTGGGAAATGGAAGGATGTATATTCTTAGCAGTCACCTGTCCTTAGCACACTGAAGGTTGGTCGTTGGCTGTCTGAGAGTCATTGGAGCCTTTGAGGGCAAATGGGTGTAGAACCTTCTTGGTACCACCGAAAGGACTGTGTGGTAAACAGTATCGCTGACAGGAGATAGGTGGTGGTTATATACCACACTGTGCCCTTCCAGAGGGTCATGTCTTTTTTCCACAGTGTAGGGCAGGGGTCCCCAACCTGTGGGCCGCAGCCTGGCCGTGACCTAATCTCTAACAGGCAGGGTGAGTGGCCAGCTGCTGCATGCTCGGCCGCGCATTTGATCCCACTCCCATGAGCATCAGCACAACCATCGAGGGCAGTTACAGCCCGACTCACACAAGCATCGTCGTGGGCAGTTATTACCCCATTCGCACAAGCACCACTGCGGGCGATCGCAGTCTTCCTCATGCGACCGTCGTGGGTGGTCGCAGTTCCACTTTTGTAAACCTCACCGCAGGTACTGGCGGTCCCACTTGGTTGAGCATTGCCGCGACGTTGTGTGTGTCTGCGCACACACGTGGGCCTGTCCCTCCGACAAAATCGTCCCCTCTTTCCCCCTCCCCCACCCTGATCCAGGCCACCAACCAGGAAAGGTTGTGGAACTCTGGTGTAGGGAGTCCCTTTTGGGGGGAAACATTCAGGCAATCCTCTCCTTCTTTAACTCGCAGTGCCAGATGGGCCTTCCGATTTGCGGGCCGTCAATGTAACTGATACCTCCGCCATGCTGACGTGGCATCCCGCTGTGGCTGAGATGAACAACTACATTGTCACGTACGGACCTATCACTGGCACCGGTAAGAAATAAGAGCTTGTAAAGCATATGGAGTCAGTCAGTTGGCCATAAACCTGCCTTTTGAGATCATGCCTCATTCCCCCAAAAAGCTAACTCTCTTACCAGCGTAAATGTGGTCTCACACCATGTTGCGACCACTTTAATTGAATTAATTAATTTATTTAGTGTATGGCATGTGTTAGCCAAGGATCACTGGGGTGGCTGGCTGCCTCTGTGAAAGGAATTTTTTCAGGCAGTGTTATCTTTACCCACGGGACACCTGAATGCCGGTAGGCAGTCGGGGGAGGCTCCTTTCTTGTCCCTCCGCGGTTTATTCGCTCACAGGAATCGAGCCACCGAGCTGCTGACCTCAGTGGTACACAGGACCAATATCCTACTACGTGAGCCACTGCAACCCCCATGCTGTAATTTAAAATATGATATTTTCCTGAGCGTGTCAACAATCTTCAGTTTCTTTTTCATCCCTTCTTCTGCTTCGCTCAATGCTTTCATGTTCCTCCTGCCAGGACATCTCTGTGCTTTTCTATATGTGCCCACTTGAACTCTGAATGCAGGTATTCCTTGCTTAATGACCAGTCACTGAGCAGTCATTCAAAATTATGATACCCTCCCCACCCCCTCCCAAAAGGTACTTATGACTCGGTTCTGAAGTTCCGACAATGGCATGACAGGTTATTTGAATGAGGACCAAATTGAAAACTGTTGTGTAAAAGGAGGAATCTATAAGCAAAGAACTTTGAAAAAGTCGTGTTTGAATGGAAGTAATGAGATCCCCATAAAGAGCAGTGAGAAGTTTAGAGAGGAGAAAGTAATGGATGAAATTATGTAGCGTCCTCTGGATGCCAGGATAGGAAGCTGTTGAGAGGTGGCATGTATGGAGTTGCTGTAAAGGAGATTTAGCTGCTTTAGATTTTTCTTTTCCTACAATATTTTAATCTTGTGTCTTTATCTTTTCATCTTATTGCCTTCTGTACTCTGTTATCCATTCTTCTTAGACCAGGGCCCCCCAAACTGGACTTCAACTCCCATAATTTTCCAGACAGCGATGTTGGTGTCAGTGTTCTGAGTAACACGCCCATTGGAAATAGAACCCTGAGGCAGGCAGATTCCTCAAAGAACATGTTTATTGAGCGCATCATATCAGCCCAGCTAGTGAAAACCGACTCTGAAAGTTTTCCCATGTTTGTAGCATAACTAAAAGAGCCATTGTTCCCCTCCCCAAATGTCACCGGTCATATTGTCCGAATAAGACATTCGGCGGGTTTCTTGGTCACCCCTCTTCTCCTCCAACTGCCACCTGCTGGGATGACCTTGGTACCCACGAGGAAGCTTTTTGTTACGACTGCTAATCTTGTCTCTCTACCTCCCTTCCCTCCCCGACCTCCAGACTTTGTGGCAACTATGAGGCAGCCAAAGATGGCTTCAGCCAGGTTCACTTCAGAGTTGACAGTTGGCTGGAGGATTCTGGGAGCGGAAGTCTACAAGTCTTAAAAATTGCCAAGTTTGGAGACTCCTGTCCTAGACTCTTGATTTGGTTTGGCTTAGGCTACACTAGGAATAGATTTCCTCTCTGTATTTACCTATTTCTCCATTCCCCACCCACCCCAGGCTCACAGGTCTCCGAATCAGTTCCAGGAAATCGTGTCCAGCTTCAGCTGTCAGAGCTACAAAGGGACATGGAATATTGGGCCAATGTCTATGGGGAAAAGGAAGGAAACCGAAGTTCTCCCATCAGCGCTACTTTCACCACTGGTGAGTGGATGGGCTCCATTACAGTGGTGGTAGTGAGTGCACCACTGAAAGACTCGAGATGCCAGACCCTGCTGGAAAGATGCATCTGTGTAGTTGCTGAGACTCGATCCTTGATGGTATATGGTCAATCAATCCATCAATCAGAGTGAATAGTGGAGTCAATAGGGATGGTTCTAAAGAGTCAAAAGAAATGTCTACAGGTGGCCCTTGACTTAAAACCAGAAAATTCATTGTTAAGTGGCATGGTCAATAAGTGATCATCACATGACCGCAACCAATTTTAGGACTTTTTTTGCCGCAATTATTACATGGGGGAAATTACATATTTCCCCCAAAAAACTAATGCAATCTTTGGTTGCTTAAAAAGAGGCATAGAATCAAAATCACGTGAAGTATTAGTAAAATTAAAGGTTCCTCTCGCACATAAGTGCAAATCATTTCCAGCTCTAGGGGGTGGTGCTCATCTCCGTTACAAAGCTGAAGGGCCAGCGCTTGTCCGAAGATGTCACTGTGGTTATGTGGCCAGCATCACTAAACGCTGAAGGCGCACGGAACGCTGTTACCTTCCCACCAAAGTGGTCCCTATTTTTCTACTTGCATTTTTACATGCTGTCGAACTGCTAGGTTGGCAGAATCTGAGACAAGCAACGGGAGCTCACTCCATTACGCAGCGCTAGGGATTCGAACAGCTGAACTGCCGACCTTTCTGATTGACAAGCTCAGCATCTTAGCCACTGAGCCACTGCGTCCCCTGTAAAGTATTAGTGCCGCTTTATAAATCTTTGGTTAAGGCCACACCTGGAATATTGCATCCAAATTGGTCACATTACAAAAAAAAAGATGTTGAGACTTTGGAAAAAGAGCAGAGAAGAGCAACTAAGATGATTAAAGGCCTGGAGATTAAAACAGATGAAGAACGGTTGCAGGAATCGGGTATGGCTAGTCTAGTGAAAAATAGGACTAGGGAAGACATAATAGCAATATTCCAGTATTAGAGAAGCTGCCACAAAGAAGAGGAGGTCAACTTATTTTCCAAAGCACCAGCGGCAGGACAACGGATGGAAAATAACTAAGGAGAGAAGCAACCTAGAACTAAGGGGGAAGCTTCCTAATAGTGAGAACAATGAAGCCAGTGGAACAGCTTGCCTTCAGAAGTTATGGGTGCTTCATTACTTGAGGTCTTTAAGAAGAGACTGAACAGCCACTTGTCTGAAATGATATAGGGTCTCCTTCTTGAGCGTGTTACGACCAAGACTTCCTGAGACCGTAATTAAGCACACGCTTAATGAAAACAACTCTTGTTTTATTTCAACACTGGGAAAGGTGGGTGCTTATCTCGAGGGACTGTTTGAGACTCATCGCAGGCTGGGAATTATGTTCATTCCCAGCCTGTAATGAGTCCCAAACAGTCCCTCGAGATAAGCATCCACCTTTCTCTCCTTTGAATTGCTGCCAACAACTAAAGTGCCAAAGTAACTATAAAAAACTAACCGAAGTACAAAGTCCGCATAGAGCTTCAAGGATTAATCTGAACAGAGCAAATGACTTTGCTTCCTGCAAAGGTTTCTCACCCTTTGCATGTCCTTTATACCTTATGGGAGGGGCAATCACCTCCCAGCCTTACTCCTGAGTCCACCTTTTATCTCAGTGGCTCTTGACTTCTAACAGCTCTGCATACTGGGAACAGGCTCCCCATGTTCCTCTGCCTCACTGCTGCCAGACTCCGGAGGCTCCAGAGTCAACATCCCACTCCCAGATGGTCCTGGCCCCATCTCTGCATCGGATGGAGGACCCTCATTCGTGTCCTTTCCAGACTCCCGAACTGGTCCCTGTTCTTTCCCCCTGTCCAATTCCGCTGCTGTCTGCACAGGCTCCTGGCAAAACACAACAGAGCACAGGGTTGAACTAGAAGACCTCCAAGGTCTCTTTTAGCTCTATTCTGATTGATTGATTGATTGTAATTTGTGACCTTCCATGCTTTCACTGACTTTGCTGTATCTTCTTTGCTGTATACATCAAAGCTGATGTGTAACAAAGCTGAACAATCAAGAACGTTGTTTACGTTCAAAATCCGATTTTAACATTAGTGGATTCTCCGGCGTGATGTTTCATTTCTGCTAAAAATTTCTGCCATCTTGGAAAGAATTATACCCACATGAGTGCCAGGTCCTTGAAGACAAACAAGGCGGCAGAGTTCACGCAACACCATAAGCCAGGGCTAGTTAAACCAGATTGTCTTGTTTGTCATACCCCCGTGATGGCGAACCTATGGCACGCATGCCACAGGTGGCACGCAGAGCCATTTGTGCTGGCATGCGAGCTGCAGGTAAACTTACCTCATGGGCATGTGTGCGCCTCACAGCTGATTTTTGGCTGGTTTGAGGCCTTTTTCGGCCTCCCAAGGGCTTGAAAAAAGCCTCTGCAGGCTTTGCAGGGTGAATAATAGGCCCATTACATCACTTCCTGTAATACCGGAAGTGATAAAACGGTCCTATTATTCATCCTGCAAAGCCTGTAGAGGCTTTTATCAAGCCTCTGGGAGGCTGAAAAAGGCCTCAAACTGGCCAAAAATCAGCTGTGAGGTGCAGTGCAGGTAAGGGGGTGGTGGGATGGAATTGTGCAAGCATTTGCAAGGGCATGGCGGGCGAGCGCATTCCCTTCTGGGTGCTGGCACAGGAGCCCCAAAAAGTTAGCCACCACTGTCATACCCTGTCTTGGAATTTCTCAGATTTTTTTGAAACATTGGGCAAAATGTCCCTTTGGCTTCGTTTCCCAAAAGTGTTCATAGATTTTTCTCTGCTGCTTTATAGCACAAGGTAGGGTTAAGTTCATAATTGTACAATTTTGTTCATTTTTTTAAACTCTCACCTTCCTCCTCCTCCTCCTGCAGGAGCAGATGGGCCCCGGGACCTGCATGCTACAGAAATTTTCCCTCGCAGTGCGCGTCTCACCTGGTCACCTCCTGGTGTCCCCTCCGAGGGGTATCTGTTGAGTTATGAGACCCCCGATGGACAATCAAAGGTACCTAGCCACATGGCTACTATTACATGCTGGTAGTTCCCGACTTACGACCACAATTGAGCCCGAGAGTTTTATTGCTAAGCGAGACATTTGTGAAGTGAGTTCTACCTCATTTTACGACCTTTCTTTGCCATGGTTGTTAAGTAAATTACTGCCGTTGCTAACTTACGAACACGGTCGTTAAGTGAATCTGGTTTCCCCGTTGGCTTTTGCTTATCAGAAGGTCACAAAATAGCATCACATGATCCTGGGACCTGCAACACAACCCTCAACAAAATTGACTTTGACCTCTTCCTTTCCTCTCAGATCTCTTAGAGTTCAGGCAGTAGATTAAGAATAGGAAGGTCAAGGGTTGAATACTCCAGAGGTCTCCAAACTTGGCAACTTTAAGACTTGTGGACTTCAACTCCTAGAATTCCTCAACCAGCCTATGCTATGCTGCTGGCTGAGGAATTCTGGGAGTTGAAAATCCACAAGTCTTAAAGTTGCCAAGTTTGGTGGGACCTTGTTCAATACTCCATTAGGAGTGGCAACCAGTTGGTTGACCTTGGACCCATTCCTGCCCTCTCTGTCCAAATTAAGTGTTAGACGGCTGCTGAAGGACAAATCCCTTGTCTGTTTAATCTCTCGGTCTGTCTTGAGAATGTATAAGGCCATCTAGCACAACCAAAGAATTCTGGGCAAGCTGACAAGGCATCAAGGCAAAAAAAGCCAAACAAACACCATGCAAGTGAAAACAAGAATAAAAATAGCCAACTCCTTGATCAGCCCCCAATTATTTTTTCCTTCTTTTCATTTTTGTTTCTTTGATGTTGTGTCTTTGGGTCCGTGAAAGCTGCCTTGAGTCGCCATGTGCGAGTAGGCGGCAGTATAAAATTTCTAAATAAATAACAATAAATAAGATAAAATGCACAGACTGGGCTCTGCTTACATCCTGGCCCCAAAACCTCTGGTTTTGAAGGTTTTATGGCTACCCAAAAGGGTTGCATTAAATTGCGCCCATAATCTTGATTTTTTTTTAAAAAAAAAAACCCACCTCTTTCCTGCATATGCTCCCAGTTAAAAGAAACTCCTTCGTAGTGCAAGCTAGTTTATATTTTATGTTCTGTGGCAAATGAAGGTAAACACACGTGTCCCAGGATAATGTTGCCAGATCCAATTGGAATCAATCACTGGAACCAAAAGGTTTCAAGCTTTCAGGCTTGTGTTGGAGGGAACGTCATTAGGGAACTTCTCTCTCTCCAGGATTTGTGCACTGGGATGTCCAGCATGTTGTATTTATACGGTAGGAGTCTGGAGAGGACTCGGACGAGGGTCTTGCGTCCAATGCAAGGATGGGGCCAGGACCATCTGGGAGTGGGGTGCTGCCTTTGGAGCCTTTGGAGTCTGGCAGCAGCAAGGCAGAGGACCCAGGGGAGCATGTTCCCAGTGTGCGTATGCACAGAGCTGCTAGAAGGCGAGAGCCGCTGAAACAGAAGGGGTGACTCAGGAGTAAGGCTGGGAGATGATTGCCCCTCCCATAAGGGATAAAAGTCAGGCATCAATGAGGAACACTTGAAGGAAGCAAAGTAGTTCAATAGATTCCGAGTCCTCCTTGAAGCTCTGTGTATTCTGGGGTTTTTTTTCTGGTTCTTTGCTTGGTTTCTGTTATAATTAATTGGATACTTCTGTTTCTGGCAGCATTCCACAGCACCGAAAGGCATGTGTGTATCTTGGGGAACTGTTCAAGATTATTTCTGGTTGGGAATGAAAGCAATTCCCAGTGTTGCAATAAAATAGGTTTTGCTTTTGAAACAAGTTTGTGTTTAATTACGTTTGATGAAGCCCAGGTCAGAACAAGTACCTGATTGTATTTTGTTTTTAGTTGTTAGTTAGGGTGTTGATATCTGGCTGTTAAGTCATTGATTGTTGTTTCCTTGTGCCACTGCACTCTTGGCTCCTAAATACCTGATGAGCTGACTGTAAATCAGCACTCCTGTTGATTGATAAGGACCCCACTCTCCAGTCTTCAATAATTTCTCTGGCTGTTTCTGTCCCTGCTCAGCCAACTATTGTTGTAACTGCAAAATTCAATGCATGTCCTTGTTCACTGCAGTGTGAGGTTACCAATGAGTTGAGGTCTCTTTTATATTCTACGCTCTAGTTCATTGGTGGAACAGGTTGACTTGGAAAGTAAGGTCTTTTACTTTGCCGTGGGTTGTAGTTAAGTAGCATATCTTTCTAGATTATTAGAAAACTTTGAGTAGGGGCTGGATTAGATGACGTTTACTACTGTGTTTCCCCCCAAATAAGACCCTGTTTTATATCTTTTTGCCACCAAAAAAGGCACCAGGTCTTATTTTCAGGGGATGTCATCCACTGATTAACCTCACTTTGTGCGTGTCGCTCCTGGCCTCCTTTTCGCTGTCAGAGGCCTTCAGAAACTTCTTCTGCAGCTGGCAAGGCTTTCCTGAAGGCCTCTGCAGTCGATAACAGAGCTCCAGATCAATCCACAGCTTTGTTATCAGTTACAGAGGCCTTGAGGAAAGCCTTGCCAGCCTTGCCGGCTGCAGAAGAAATGGGCCGGCAAGGCAGGTGTTGGGGTGTGTGAGGCCTGGCTATAACTGTCCAAAGATAAGTAGTAAGGCAGCTCCATCCCCCCATTCCCACCGTAGCTTAATTTTTACTCATGCACTCTGGAGTGGGAAGGGTCTTAATTAGGGCTTATTTTGGGAGCAGGGCTTACATTGGGTGCACGTGTAAAAATCAAGCTAGGATTTACTTTCGGGGTAGGTTGTATTTTTGGGATAACAGGGTATCCCTTCCATGTTCTAATAGAAAAGAATATTTGTAGCTCAGGGTTGAGCTCTAGTGCCTTCTTTGGTGCCCTCTGATTGTGGTTGTTTTCTTGCAAACGTTTCATTCCCTGACTAGACAACATCATCAGTGTACTGATGACATTAACTAGTTGGGAAATGTAACATCTGCAAGGAAACAACCGAGCTTAGAAAGCATCGAAGATCCCAACTCTCCATGTTGTATTATTATGGGAAATATGTAATATATTATCTATGGAGATTCTCAGTCATCCAAGTCGTGGTTTGTCCCAAAGGTGCTTTTTCAAGGGGCAACTGGACTGTCTGGTTTTTTTTTTCTTTGAAGATGTTCAGAGCTGAAGAAGCCTCTTGGATAAGAAGTGAAATGTCTTCAAAGAAAAAAAAAACAAAAAGTCCAGTTGCCTCTTGAAAAAGCACCTTTGGAACATGGAGAATATATATTGTTCTCTATATAGCTACAACTCAAAGCCCTTATATATTGCTGGCCTAAATTTTCCCGCCTTTATTTTGTTCTCCACAGGAGATCCCTCTGGATGCTTCCATCACTTCATACGAACTTCAAGATCTGATTCCTTCAAGCCGGTACCAGGTCCAAGTCCAGGCAGTGAGGAGGGGCACACCAACAGCTCCCATCTCCACATCCTTCACCACTGGTAATAACACTATGTTTGGAATATAAGTCACCTAACAGGTATTTGGGTTAGAAATATATAAACCAGGATAAACATTTTAGTACTATATCTTTAAGGGGGTGCAAGAGCATGCATTTGGGTGTGGTTTCTCAAACAGCCATAAGATGGAGCCAGAAACCTGGGTTGTTTTAGTCTTAGTCTCAGAAGAGAGTGTGTCTGAGTGTGCATCTCTGTTTCCTTCTGTTGGAAAGTATTATCATTGTTCCATTTCTTCTAATGGGGAATTACCTCAACACACTGTATGTCTATGTTTGAGACAGACCAGCTGTGGTCCTTTGGGGCTCCCTAAAGACCAAAACTCTGAATGGATCCAGTGATCACCTTTTTTTTCTTGGCCAGGGCACCTGACATACCCCTTCCCTCGGGACTGCGCGGAAGAAATCCAGAATGGGCCAGGAGCTTCACGAGTAACAACAATTTATCTAGGGGGCAACCAGGAACGTCCCTTGAGGGTGTTCTGTGACATGGAGACAGACGGAGGAGGCTGGATTGTGAGTATGAACAATATGGTTCGGTTGGTGATGGTCAAACTGTAGTTGCTTGAAAAAGAATCCTGGTTTCCTCCAGCCATGATTTCATGTGTGCCATTTTTTTGGCCACAGACATTGGCAGTTGAAGAATTTTAAATGGTGGGTGGTGTTAATGAAGGGAAACAAATAGAAGTCTTTAAAGCAGCATCTTTCCCCAATTTCTCCAGATTTGTCAGACAATAGAATTTAAGTTAAATGTAGAGAAGAATAAAAGTCTTAGGCAAGAGAAACCAAAAGTACACATATAGACTGGGTGAAACCAGGCTCAATAGCAGGAACTGTGAGAGGGATCTTGGAGTCTTAGTGGACAACCAACTAAATATGAGCCAGCAGTGTGCAGCAGCAGCAGCCAAAAAAGCTAACACAATTCTAAATTGCATTAACAGAGGAATACAATCAAGATCAAGTGAGGTACTAATACCACTCTATAAAGCCTCAGTATGACCATACCTAGAGTACTGCATCCAGTTTTGGTCACCACATTATAAAAAAGATGTTGAGACTCTAGAAAAAGTAGAGAAGAGCAACCAGGATGATTAGGGGTTTGGAGGCTAAAACATAAACGGTTACAAGTACTCGACATGGCTAGTCTAGTGAAGAGAAGGACCAGGGGAGACATGATAGCGGTCTTCCAATATCTGAGAGGCTGCCACAGGGAGGAAGGGGTCAAGCTATTTTCTAAAGCGCCCGAAGGCCAGACAAGGAATAATGGATGGAAACTGACCAAGGAGAGATTCAAACCTAGAAATAAGGAGACATTTTCTGATTGTGAGAACAATCAACCAATGGAACAGCTTTGCCTTTGGAAGTTGTAGGAGCTTCATCACTGGAGGCTTTCAAGAAGAGACTGGACTGCCATTGGTCAGAAATGGTGTAGGGTCTCCTGGCTGGGTGGGGTTTTGGACTGGAAGACTTACAAGTCCCTTCCAACTCTGTAAATCTGTCTGTTAGATCCCATCATCCATAGCCAACATGCTATTTGTAGAAAGTGGTCCTTTTGAGCCAAGAAATGTAGAAAGTGCCAGGTTAGACAAGGGCATTCTAGGGCAGAATTTTTCCAAGTTTAAAATGTGTGGGCTTTCAACTCTTAGAATTTCCCAGCTGGCACAATTCTGGGAGTTAAAAGTCCACAAATCTTAAAGTTGCCAAGGTGGGAAAACTCTGCTCTGGTGTTTATACCTGCAGAAGTCCTTATGAAGTTGTGCGACATGGAACCACAATAGCGCCAAACTTTTTACAGATCAAGGGAGACCAAGCAACAAACCAGAAACCTGGCACAAGCTCCATCCTTCAGTTATTTGGGTGCAATGTTGTGACTCACATGTGAAAGGGTCAAACATGCATACTGATGTTAAGATGTATGTTTCATAATCTGACATGTGTAGATGTTCTGTCTCACCTGTATCCACAGGTGAGAATCCAAAGTTCAAATATGCAAGCAAACAAAACCAGACCCAAAAGAGTTAACTGCTTGTTTTCACTAGACCTTGGCAGTCTTCCTGGAATCCGTCTGGCAAGTCTGAACTGTCCATAAATCACAATGCCGCAGCCATACGCAATTCTTTCGCACCAAAAACACACTTTGCTTCAAGCGGGAGAGAGGCGTTAACACGCTCCTTATATATCCCCTGAAGGGGCGTGTCAGTTTCTTTAATTAATCCTTGGCTGGACATCTCTTTTCTAATTGAGATTGATGTCTCAATCTTCTCCTAGTCCTAGCATCAAGCCAGCATCCGGTAGTTTCATCATCACTTGAAGCCTCTGGCACACTTTCCTGATTAACAGTTAACACCTGAGGTGCAATCAGGGAGGGAGTTCCAGAAGACGAAGACACCTCTGAAACTTCTAATAAATCATTCTCATCTCTCAGATTCAACTCCTCCTCCTCCCCCAGACTCCTCTCAACGTCGCTCAATAATGCAGGCTCGAATCTCAATGCCAGATCTTCTTCGTCACTCGAGCCTACATCTGCTGACTGATCTGGTTCAAACCTCAGAGGCACAACATGTAGATGTTTCTCTATATTGAGAAAAATTGTCCTAAAGGTGCTTTTTCAAGAGGCAACTGGACTTTCGGGGGAGGGGGGGGTTGGGGGAAGATGTTTCACTTCTCATCCAAGAAGCTTCTTCAGCTCCAACTGTCTGGTGGATAATTGAAGGATTTATATTCCTTGTGGACTGCTAGTCATTTGCATTCTTTTAGAGAGCGGTTGAGGCCACTTGGAGGTTTATCTCTGTCGTCAGGGCCACCTGAGTGGTGTGAAGCCTTCTTGGAACGGCTGAGAGGACTCTCTAAAAGGATGCAAATGACCAGAAGTCTGCAAGGACTGTAAATCCTTCCATTCCCCACCAGCCAGCCATAACTGAAGAAGCTTCTTGGATGAGAAGTGAAATGTCTTCAAAGAAAAACCAGAAAGTCCAGTTGCCTCTTGAAAAAAAAAGGCACCTTTGGGACAACCGTGACCTGGATAACTGAGACTCTCCATAAGACATTGAGAAAAATTGCTCTCAAAATTACGTAGAAGGACATCTTGGGGTTTCATTGCTTTCTGATATCTGATTACTATCAATTTTCTTTCCTTCCTTCTCCATCGTGGCATCCTCATTCTCCTCTTCCTCCTCCTTCCTTCCAGGTCTTTCAACGTCGGATGAATGGTGAGACAGATTTCTGGCGGGACTGGCAAAATTATGCTCTTGGCTTTGGCAACCTCACCCGGGAATTTTGGCTAGGTAAGTCTATAACGTTGCCTGCGTCTCCTCACCCGTGTAGCCAGATATTTCTACCATTTTGTCCTTCCTGTCCTTTTACAAATTGGCAACTGAACTCACAGAAGGATAAGGGCTTGTCTCAGCTGAACCCATTTCTGGACTTTACGCTTGAAACAGGGAGTTAAAAAAATGAAGCTTTGAGTCTGACAATTGTGTTACAGAAATGGTTAGCATCACTAAAATAACCGTATGTTGTACTCCGCTGAAGCAAAAAAGTTGAAGGTCACTACTTTTTTTCTTTCCCTTTCATCTTATATCCCTCTCCCCCTCTCTACTTTTCTTTATTCTCTCGTAGTCTTTATTTCTATTTGTATTTTATACAACAGGGGTGTCAAACTTGATTTCATCAGGGTTGAGTTTGACCTCAGAGGGTGGGTGAGATCATGGTGGACGTGGCCAGATGTAGGCCTGGCCATGGTAGACGTTTGACACAGGCTCAAGATGCATTTTTTTTTCTCTTCTCTCTTTCCGCACTTCTTTACTATAACCATTTTCCTATCTCTTCTCCCAGATATTACTGGCAAACTTTTATTACCAATTCTTCATACTCCACTGAACTTTTTATTTCTAAATTTATACCCCATTGTTTAGTCGTAAATTGTTCTTCCAGGCAGAAAAGCTATTTATACTATTGTATTTTTATGATTCAACTACTAATAAAAAATACAATACCACAAATAAATACATAAATAACACAAACAGAGGTACATTTCTAGGATAGTAAATAAAAATGGCTGTCAATTATAGACTGTTGATTGTAGATTAAATGTACCTACCGTACGTAAAATCTGACATTAAACTGTAGCATTAACATAGGACATTACTTGTTTTCTGTTCAGATCAGGCACTTACTTGAGGCCACATAATTGTAATCCAGTCCAATCCAGTCCCTCCTGCAGCACTCTGCCAGCCGAAAACGGGCTGCGTGGAGACACCTTGTGGATTCCGCGTGGCCTGTTTATGGCCTCCCCGGCCTCCTGTAGCATTCTGCCGGCTGAAAATGTTTTTGGCTGGCACAGTGTTGCTGTAGGTTGTGGAGGCCCAAAACAGACAGCATGGGGGCCACACGTGGCCCATTTTGGCTGGCAGAGGCACCGCGGGTCGGTCCTTTGATATTTCCAGGCCAGCCCCATCGGCCAGATTTAAGCATCCCGATGGGCCGAATCCAGCCTACGGGCCTTGAGTTTGACATACCTGTTATACAATAATAAACTTTAATTTTTTTTAAAAAAAAAGTAGAAATGATAATAAGGCTGTACTAACTTTCACAGTTGTATACCAGTTCCATAAGGGTTCCACTTGTAAGAGTCACTCCTGCTTTAACCTCCTTCCAAAGATTGATTGAATATCAAAGTGTTCCTTGGTGACCACATAGATCGATTCTCTCTTCAGGATAATGTGTCCCCAACCTGAGAACTCTTCCAAGGGTGTCCTCATTATTAGGCCCAGGACTCTTCAATACCTTCATTAACAACTTAGATGAGGGAATAGAAGAGGAACTTAACCAAATTTGCAGATGATACTAAGCTGGCAGGAATAACTAACACCCAAGAAGATAGGCTCAAGATCCAGATGGATCTTGACAGACTAGAACACTGGGCCACATCTAACAAAATGAAATTCAATGTAGAGAAAAGTAAAGTCCTACACTTAGGCAAGAAAAACTAAAAGTAAACATATAGACTGGGTGAAACCAGGCTCAATAGCAGGAACTGTGAGAGGGATCTTGGAGTCTTAGTGGACAACCAGTTAAATATGAGCTAACAGTATGCAGCGGCAGCCCCAAAAGTGAATGCAATCCTAAGTTGCATTAACAGAGGAATGCAATCAAGATCAAGTGAGGTACTAATACCACACTAGGTAGTAAGACCACACCTAGAGTACTGCATCCAGTTTTGGTCACCACATTATAAAAAAGAGGTTGAGACTCTAGAAAAAGTGCAGAGAAGAGCAACCAAGATTAGAGGACTGAAGACTAAAACATACGAAGAACGATTACAGGAACTAACTTGGCTAATCTAGTGAAGAGAAGGACCAGGTGGGACATGATAGTAGTCTTCCAATCTTTGAGGGGCTGCCACAGAGAGGAAGGGGTTGAGCTATTTTCTAAAGCACCTGTAGGCCAGACAAGGAATCATGGATGGAAACTGAACCAGGAAAGATTCAACATGGAAATAAGGAGAAACTTTCTGACAGGGAGAACAATCAACCAATGGAACAGCTTACTTTCGGAAGTTGTGGGAGTTTCAGCACTTGAGACTTTCAAGAAGAGATTGGACTCCCCTCTGTCAGAAATGGTGTAGGGTCTCCTGCTTGGGAGGGGGCGGGGTTGGACTAAATGACCTACAAGGTCCCTTTCGACTCTGTTAATCTGAATGACATGCAACTGAGTCTGTCCTTCAGAAGACTCATCCTCACTTTTTCTCTTTGGTTTCCAGGAAACAATGCTCTGCACCAGCTGACCTCTTCAGGGGACTACGAGCTACGCGTGGATCTCCGTGCCGGGGATGAGTCTGTCTATGCCACCTATCAGAACTTCCGTGTGGACCCTCCAGCTGACCATTACCGCCTGCACCTGGGCAGTTACCATGGCACAGCTGGTGAGCAGAGCTGTGGGACGGTGTGTCAGGATTCCAAGTAATATATCCACAACAATGAGAACTCCGAGGCAGGCATTGTCAACTCATAAAACATTTCTATGCCCGTTTTATAGTTGCTAACAGAAAGAGGGCGGGGGGAGGAAAGGAGTTTGAAAGAGTAGTTCAGCAGTTCGGAATTGAAAGTGCATTCCATTCATATCTTGCATAGATTATAACAAAGCTACTGGAATTTCTGCCGTGCAAATCTCTCATTGGAGAACATGATTGATGACTCTTGGCTATGAATGTGTTTCGTTGGAGAATATGAATTTGGATACACCCAGAAGGGTGGGGGAAAACCAGGGTCAAGAGTGACAGTGAATCACGTGTCTCAGAATCGGTTACCCACAGGTCACACCGGACATATTAGCTCCTAATAAATCCTCTGGAGTTTTTGAAGCTTGGCTCAAAGCTCATGATTTAATTGTCAGGGCTCCAACAGTTACCCCCATTTTAATCATGACTCTCAAATCCAACGGTGGGGTTCAATTTTGTTTACTCCTGGTTCTATAGGTGTGGCTTGGTGGGCATGACAGGGGAAGGATACTGTAAAATCTCCAGTCAGAGATGGCATTTGCTGGTTCTCCGAACTACTCAAAATTTCTGCTACCGATTCTCTAGAACTGGTCAGAACCTGCTGAATACCACCTCTGCTCTAACCAAACTTCCAAAACTTAAAAAAAAAGATTTATTGGGAGTAAACAAGCCAGCACTGCCTGGGTGTAGCTGACTCTGAGACACATTATTCATTGTCACCCTTGACCCTGGTTTCCCCCACCCCCCCACCCCCTGGGTGGTATCATAATTCATATTCTCCAATGGGATACATCCATAGCCAAGAGTCATTAATCATACTCTCCAGTTAGAATTTTGCGCGACAGAAACTTCAGTCACCTAGAAACTATCTTTGAAAACATTTATGGAATGCAAGCTGCCACACTGCTCCCCCTTTCCCTTTCTGTTGGCAACTCTAAAACGACCATAGAAATATTTTATGAGTTGACATTAATTAGGGCCACTGCCGGAATCCTGACAGGCATCTTTCTCAAAGAACAATTCATTGGGACATGTCATATGGGCACAAACCTGGTGAAAACCGGTTCCACTGATTTTCACCTAATTAAAAGTTTTGTCACTTCTCCCTGGTCAGATGACAGACGATCCTACCCTTCTCCTGCCGAACACCTGCACGAATGTCCTAGGTTCCCAGCGGAAAGAATTTTATTTGGGCTACAACACGCCAACTATCTCTACCGCCTCCCTCCTTCAAGCTCCAGGCTGTGTCAGCACTGAAGCAAGGAAAATAAAATGGCTGCAGTCAGGCCAACTTCAGGGTTGACACTGTGATTGAAATCAGCAGGGAAACGAAGCAGCGTAAAGAGATTGCTTTCTAGATTCTCTTCTCATGGGCCCTGATAGACAGGTTTACTCATCCTTTCCGCCTTCCGCCTATGCCGGGAAAGCAAGCACCAGTCTTGTTCCTTTTTGTGGCGGGGAATCTTCCATCTGCAGGTGGGCCTCGACTTACGACCTCAATGGAATCCCCAAATTTCTGTCGTGAAGTGGGACATTGGTGAAGTGAGCTTTGCCCTCTTTTATGAACTTTCAAGACACAGTGGCTAAGTGAATCTCCGCAAGTTGTTAAGCAAAGGGACCCAGTTGTTCAGTGAATTCAGGCTTCCCCATTGACTTTGCCAGTCAGGTGGTCGTAAAAGGTGATCACATGACCTCGGGATGCAGCAACGGTCATAAGTCTGAGTCCAGTTGCTCAGCATCTGAATGTTGATCCCATGATCAGGGGCAATGCTACAATAGGCCATAAGTGTGAAAAATGGCCATAAGTCACTTTTTTCAGTGCCGTTGTCACTTTGAACAGTCACTAAATAAATGGTTGTAAGTTGAGGACTACCTGTATAGCTCTTTCCATTAACATAGAACATATATTGATGTCTTCTAGTTAAACCCCTTGCTCAAGGCAGGAGACAGTGATGGCGAACCTTTTTGTTGTGGTGTGCCGAAAGCACAGGCAAGCCAGCCCCCACAATGCAATGCGCCTCGCCCCACCCCTGCACATTTGCACACAACACAACATCCCCGCCCCATGTCCTTACCTGCACTTCTTATGCACATGCCTCCCAGCTGATTTTTGGCCCGTTTGAAGCCGTTTTCACCCTCCCGGAGGCTTGAGGGAAGCCTCTGCAGCCTTGGGAGGCTGAAAAATGGGCCTTCCGGAAATACAGAAGTATCTGTTTTCACCCTCGGTAGGGCCCTGGAGCCCAGGGAAGGCCATTTTCACCCTCCCGGAGTCTCGAGGGAAGCCTCGGTAGCCTCAGGAGGCTGAAAACAGGCCCATTTCGGTACTTCCGGTATTTCCAGAAGGCCAGTTTTTCAGCCTCCCGAGACTGCAGAGGCTTCCCTCAAGCCTCCGGGAGGGTGAAAACAGCCTCAAACTGGCCGAAAATCAGCTGGGAAGCAAGTGCCTGAACAGTGCAGGGTAAGTTTGACTGGAGCTCGTGTGCCCGCACAAATGTCTCTGCATGCCACCTGTGGCACATGTGCCATAGGTTCACTATCATGGCTTTATACCATCCCAGTTGTCCAGTCTATTCTTGAAAACCTCCAGTGGTAGAATATCCTATGGAAAGGCCCTGAATGAATATATATGCATACGTGGATAGATGGGGTGTTAGAAATATGGGAGGATCCTCAAATCTGAGTTTTAGGAGTAAAGTTTTGTAGTGGACGTTTCCATCATGTTGATGCGGCATTTGAGTACTCCAGCCGGCCTGTCGCGTGGGCCTGTCGTCGGAGGGTCTGCTCTCAGTTACGGTCAGCGTTTGACGGCTTCGCGCATCCAGGGGACACCACTTGGAGGTGGCAGACCGCTCGTCCCCCATCTGGATTCTGGATTCATCAAGAACTGCGGCACCACCGACGCCATCTTCGGTGTGCGGATGCTGATGGAGGCTCACAGAGAGAAGAAAATCCCGCTCCACACCGCCTTCCTAGACTTGGAAAAGGCCTTCGACCGAGTCCCGCACGATCTCATCTGGTACGCACTGCGAGACCACGGCGTGCCTGAGCTGCTCGTACAATGGGTCCAACTCCTATACAGATGTCACAAAAGCCGTGTAAAAGCGGCAGCTGGGATATCAGAGGAGTTTAATATTACCGTCGGCGTACACCAGGGCTCTGCTCTCTCACCACTGCTGTTCATTCTGGTGATGGACACAATTACACACGACCTGTACACGCCCGCCCCATGGACGCTGCTCTACGCCGATGATGTGTTCCTGGCCAACCTGTGCAAGGCTGAACTAGAGCACCGAGTCCAACAGTGGCACGACCGCCTCGAGCAGTTCGGGCTCCGGCTGAACCTAAAGAAGTCCGAATACCTGACCACTGACAATGAAATGACAGGCTCCATCCACGTGAACGGGCAGGAGCTACCGCGCGCCTCCACCTTCAAGTACCTGGGAACTACTCTTGGGGAAGAAGGCCTACTACAAACTGAGGTGGCAGCCAGGATCAATGCAGCGTGGGGCAAATGGAAGTCCGTCACGGGCGTCCTCTGTGACAAGAAGATGCCGATGCGCCTGAAGGCGAAAATCTATAACTCTGTGGTGCGCCCCGTGGCCATATACGGCGCAGAGTGCTGGCCGACGACCAAAGAAGTCGAAAGCAGACTCCAGATAATGGAGATGCGAATGCTCCGATGGTCGGTAGGCCTCACCCTACTCGATCGCGTCAGGAACGAAGAAGTGCGTAGACGGTTCAACGTCGTGCCCATCCCCACGGTCATGAGGCAGTCCCGGCTACGATGGTTCGGCCACGTGAGCCGCGCCAAGGAAGAATCCATCATCAAATCTGTAATGAAGGTGACTGTCGGAGGAGCGAGACCGCGTGGTAGACCTAAACAACGCTGGATGGACACGATCAAGGCCGATCTAGAGATCGCGAAGGCAGACCCGACACACGTGGCAGACAGAGAGGTGTGGAAGCAGTACTCAAGGACATTAGCGGACCTCGCCCGAGCGCGAGACAAACGCTGAAGAAAAAGAAGAAGAAGAAGAAGGAGTAAAGTTTTAGGAATGGGAAATGATGGGAAAACCGTGTCTTGACTTGAGTTATCACCATTCAAAAAGCAAAGCTTTGGAGATGGATTCTACATAAGCCCTGACCATTCACCCCCCACAAGGGTTATTAGCCAAGCACCCAAATGAATGTCAATGAATGCTTCAGCTTCAACCATAACAACACAAGAGCAAACAATAGATACAAATTCAAGGTAAACCTGATTGCACCAAACTTGATTGCAGGAAATACGACTTCAGCAACAGAGTGGACAATGTCTGGAATACTCTACTTGACTCTGTGGTTTCTTCCCCAAACCTCAAAAACTTTAACCTTAGACTGTCTACTATTGACTTCTCCTGAGAGGCCTGTAGGGGGCGGGCATAAGTGCACCAACGTGCCTACCGTCCCTGTCCTATTGTTTCTTTTATTTTTATTTTATTTTTCTTATATGTATCCTTGTATTCATAATTATGTTTTTACTTATACCTATTATCTTGTAAGCAAATGACAAACCAACCAACCAACCAGATAGATAGATAGATAGATAGATAGATAGATAGATAGATAGATAGATAGATAGATAGATA